TCAACCTTCGGACAAGGTACTTTCTTGTCGGTGGGCCATGGCACAGCTTCTGCGCTTTCCCCATGATGTTGAAGATGAAACTTTTGTCGCCACTGCCATAGCATCGAAAGATGTCCTGGCTGGAATGTAGAGACTAGTAGAGTAGAGACAAAGGACAACGTGACAACGTGTAAAGGCGAAGTCCCCATTGTTAATGGTCCCGGGACCCGGGGTCCTCTACCACACGCTTCATGATGCCATCAGAGTACTGCATGATCCGCAAGAATGTGCTCACCTGCTGCCACTGGCAACAAAACCAAGGCCCTAAACGTCCCTAAACCCTAAACCTAAACCCCACCGCACCTGGAATCCTCCGAGACATCTTTCCCCTGCCTTGGCAGCGTCAAGCTTAGCATAGTCCGTTCGCAGCGCCTGCTCACCAATAAATGCCCTCATCTCTGGCACAGTGGGCATTGCCATGGCAGTGGAAGCATTCAGACGCCTAAGCATGCCCAGCTAGGAAACTATGGAGCCTGATGAGCCGGAATAAAGCCGAAGAATTGTTTGGGCGCACGCTGTCAAGCTGGCTCCGTCCTGGTCCGTCCTAGCCCATTCTTGTGCTGTGAATTCGCTCAGAGGCCGTGGCAACCAGTGGAACCAGAACCAGAAGCGAAAGAACGACCTGGGCAGGCGACCACAAATGACAACATGACGTTCAACATGATCTCCGCATATTCTTCTGCCCATTCTGCCTTGTAGGACCCACTACTCACTACACTAGCAAGCAGGCGATTGCAACTGCCACCTGGCTGTGGCTCAAAATAGGGGTATGTCGCTGTCGCGGTGTCCCGCCACCTGCCTGTGTTACATACGTATGTCGCGCCCACTTGTTTCATACGTATGTCGCGGGGTTTGTCGCGGCTGTTTCGCGCTGTCTTGAAAAAGAGATACGAAACCCATGCAGTTCCAAGAAGGGGCTTGTCGCAAAGGCTTGTCGCGGAGGTTTGTCGCGGACTGCTTGTCGCAAGCAGAACGGCTTTGTTACAAACCCTATGTCGCGGAAAGACGCCCGGGAGCCAATTACATACCTAGACTTTTGAGCCGGACCTGACTGAGAGACTCTGGACATCAGCACTGACTTGGGGCCACGGCAAAGCAGCCAGCCGCAGGGATGCGCGCAACCTGTCTGAGAACACATGGACCGCCACACAAAGGAAACATTGCAAATCGCATGTCCTGTATTGCGCTTCATGGCTCACAGCACACATGGGCACTACCATCAACTACCATCTAAGCCCTGCAGTCCCTACAGTCTGTAGAGGCCCGAACGCAATGAGGATCAAGAACAAGTGCGGCTCGATGACAATGTCCAGGGCCTCTTCACCTGCGCGCGCATGGCTAAGAGGTGGCTAGAGGCTATAGGTGGATGGGGGAATGGGAAGCTTCGGGGATTCGGGGGTGAGTCATGTTACATACATCAGATCATCAGAGTCACATCAGTCAAGGTGCAGCGGCTCGGCAGCAACAAAACAACCCGGCCCCGGCCATCCCTAAATCCCCGTTCATCCCTGTTGGTCCCGTCTCACCAAACTGTCATGAGTCATGCCTCCTGGTGCGTGCCATTGCCAGCAGCCACACCGCACCCCCGGGCTAGCTAGTCAATCAACTTGCACAACTGATCAATCTTTCGGGGCAATTCAGAATTCGGGGTCCCGGGGTGTCAAAGTTTATGGGGCGGCGGCTAAGACTGATGTCTTAGCCAGCACATGCAAGTCACGCAAGCTCTCAGAATCTCTCAGAGTCTTTCAGCCCGATGCGCTGCGCGCGGCCGCGACCCTTTTGCGCAAGAAACTCATGTAAGCACTGATCACGCATGGCCGCATGGCTTCTTCTAGATACAAATTCCAAGTCTGTTGCCTGGGTCTGCAACTGCAATCATCCGGCATCCCAAGGCCCACCAAGGCCCCTCCCTGTCTACAGTACGTAGGTTTAAGGGTTTTGGGGTCTCGGATTTTCTGCAGGCTGCAGGCTGCAGCTCGGCGTCTGAAGAAATGCAATATCTCATGTGTCTCTGGCCCTGGGCCCTGGCATCAGGAGCATCGGACAGCCCGCCCGCCCGACACCACTCAAAGCGTCAACGTCAACGCTGACCACTGACATGTCACACATGTCTTGTCTATAACATTTTAGCCTTTTGCCTACAACGTCGCAAAAACCGGTAAAATCTTCAAAATGTCCTCCTCTTTTCTTACAGGTTCAACAAAATCTTTTAGGATTCCCAAAAATGCCCTTATTCTTTTTGCTCTTTTATTAAGGTTCAACAAAATCTTTTGAGATTCCCAAAAAACGCTCTTAATGTCCTGCTCTTTTTTCAGGTCCAACACAATTTTTTCAAGATTCCTAAAAACACCCTTAACCGAAGCAAACAAGGACGCAGCACAACGGACCAGTTTAGGGGAATTTGTATCTCACTCAGCCCTGAACAGCCGCCAACATACATTGCAGCTGAGCGCTGGCCTCGCGGACACAAGACCAACGCCTGACGACCACCAATCAAAAGAACACATCTTGAAACTTTCTACCATGCTAGCGTCGAAGGCGGCGTCACAATGCAAGGTCCAGGCTCGAATTGGTAACCCTTGCCAGTGACCAAGTTTAGGGCTCGGGGTTTGGAGTTTCAGATTCTTGCACCGTGCTGACCGGTCTGCAGACGCGAGAATCGCAACTCGGGATGACGTCGATGCTGGTCGTGGTCACAAATACTACACCCCAAACCCCATCAGCCCGGTGAAGAGCTCGAGAGTCATCGGACTATCCATCCGCTCGCGTGCCCGCACATTTGTGTCCGCGCACGCGCGCGCGCGCGCGGGTGTTTGCATGGCCAAGGTGCGGCCGGCCTGACTTCTTAGCAAAAGCATTTACACAGGGCCTGGACTACTGATTTGTGATTAGCTAAGCTGTTTATTCCGTAGACTCAGTTGAGGACGGAGACGAATCGATGTCACTCTCTGTCTGCATTCGCACCGGAGCGTTACAGAGTTCTTCGCTCGGCAAAACACAGCAGCATCTTCCTCGGGCTAAAAAGAGCCGGAGCAAGACAGACCCACAAAATGGCTGAAACGCGAGTCGTTTCATTCCAAAACACGCAAGTCCGAACATGCTCGTATAAACCGTCAGGGGCAATGCGAACCATCGTCGAAACTCTGCAAGTTTGCTGTGGTGAGTTTCCCAAACTGCAAGAAGAGGACAAACGATGATCAGGTAAACTGCTACGATCTTCGACATCATTTTCAAGATGAAGCATCTTTCATCGCGAGGCCTCTGCCATAAAAGGAGGAGCAGACCAAGACGAGCCGCAACAGTGATGCTATGGATGAGCCACAAGGGGACATCTCCCACGTCAATGCCGTGGTGCTGGTAGACGAAGCCACAATAAATAGACCACAAGGTTTCACAGGTGAGCGGCACGAGTGCAACGAAAGGAAAAGCAATCTCAGCGTGCCCTGCACCTCGAACGTCAATCCCTCGACGCGCAATCTCACGAAGTGTTGGGGAGGACATCCCTGCAGCTAGAAGCACATGGATAGCGTAGTCGACGTTAACGGTTTTCTCACCAATCTCTTGGAAGATTCGTTCCGCATCCGCTTGCTTAGAACATGTCGCCTGTACTATGCTGCCCGAAAAACCACAACTGAGCTGCTTGGCTTCCTCCATTTTTGCTTCGTCGTTGACGCGGTCCACCTCCAACAGCAGGAAGAGAGTCAAACCAGAAAGAAGAAGCAAGCGCTACTCCACGAAGGCCAAAAAAGTAGGCATGTCCGTAACACCTGTTCGCCAATGCACGAAAATGACGCCAACAGCCATAGCACCGATCCTGTTCAAGAGCTTGCGACAGCCACTGTGGTTGATGTTCGCGCTGATACATGCCGCCACCACACAGATGTACAAGGGGATCGGCCGGATCCTCAGGTGCTGCGAGCAAAAGCCAAAGATCATGCCCAGGAGTCCGGAGAGGCTCCCGCAAAGAAGGGCATGGCGCAGCTGCTTGTTGTTCGAAGCTCTGGCTACAAAGATGGTCTTTCCCTCCTCGTGGGCGCGGTAGGCTTCGTAGCCGCACCAGAGCCTGGTGTAGATGCTGCAGTGACGGTTGGGAACCACAAGGACGCATGTAGAAGCCTGGAGTGCTCGCGCGAAGGGCGAGCTGCTGGGAGATTGCAAATAGGACCCTATGTCCAAGTTTTGCGGGTTGGCCAGCATGCAGCACCAGACGTTCCGAGAACCCGACGGCCAGGAATGCAAGACCTTGGACAGGAACTCGAAAACACCCTCCTGCCAGGCATGACTGATGAACAAGTCGCAGTCCAAGCCCTCCGGATGCCGCATTAGTGCCCAGCTGACCTTGCCGGCTTCATCCGTCACTGGCATGATGTACTGCGTGTTCACTGTGTGGATGTTTGGCCCATACTGATCGTCGGACGGCTCAAACGGATCACTGTCATCAAGAGGACGAATCTCCCCACACTGGATGGCACGCCAGACCTCTTGCCGCAAATGGATCAGGCATGACCGCGTGACACACCAACGGTCAGGGGTGACGGTCTCATGCAAAGCCAGAGCCTCTAGCGTCGTAAACCTCGTTGACGCGCGGGATACAGCCATCTCACGCGCAAACGTCGGCTGCACAGCCATGTAAGAATCCCTTGCAGAGCTTCCAAATCGTGCTTCCAAACCCCGAAGATGAAAATGAATATCGCTCACACCATGTTGAAGCTCATATCTTAAGCTGTGAAGCTTGGAGCCATTGGGTTTAAGTAGGGTAGGAACATATAACTCTACTTATAGCAGGGGGGCTCCTCCTTGTAGGGTTTAAGGCTCATGCGAAGGCTGTCTCAAACTACAGAAAGACCCAGTCCAAACCCAGCGAGTCGGCGAAGCCAATGGAGCTGTCAGCTTGTCAGACGCATCTGCACGCATCAGCCGCGCCCCAAAGCAGGATTTTTAGGGCCCTGGGAGCATGTTGCCTCGTTCGCCGGCACGCGCACGGCTACGATCACATCCTGCTGCAGAAGGTGGAGAGTCCAATAAGGCAAAACAACTGCACTCAGACTGCTGTAAACAAAGTCTGCGTCCCAAGGGACTGTAGTGCACCGGATGAGAGAGCCAACGGACATGCGAGTGCCTAGCGCCCACAGCCAGACGAACCCAGCTGCCATCAACCCCTCATATAGGGGCCTTTAAAATCATTAGACAATATATAATATATACATATATATATATGTATATATACATCAGGGAAGACTATTAGTAATATTCCGACCCCTATATTAGAGTCCTCCAGGAAGAGAGCCTCATCAGAGTTCGGCCGCGGATCCTGCAAAACAGCCTCCCATCGAATTGGGGCAAGTGGGCACAGGCAGCTTTGCCATGCATGTGTCTGTTGATGGGGGTTTTCCTGCGCCGAAGAGGGATGATAGCAGTAGTAACAGTAGTACTTGAGGAAGGCATGTACACTCTCGCGAGACTTTCATGTTGGCAAGGTTGCCTCCCACCAGCCGTCGCAGAAAAGGCCGAAAGAGCAGGTCGCAGACTTGCCAGTCGCTGCCGCTTCCTCGAACTTCCGGCTGCTTGCATACGAAGCTTCAGGAAGCTGAATGGTGCACATGTGAGCCATGAAACATGGAAAAAAAAAAGGCTGCTTCTGTAGGCTGCCCAGGTGCCACCAGCCCTCGGCCACGGATCCCGCGGCTTTCCTTGACTGCTCTAAGTACGCCGAGCAGACAAGGATTGAGCTTCTTCCGGGAGCCCTGTGCAGGGTGCAGAAGGCTGAGGACGCGTCACACACCATCTCTGCACAGGGCAGCTGCGAGCGCCGGCCAAAGTACCAGGGACCCGCGACAGGAGAGGCCTGCAAAACGCTCAGCAAGAGCTTTGCTGCTCTACTACGACACAGCCTCTCAGATTGCAGACCCACCCTACCAGCATTCTGCTATTATCCTAACCCCTCAACAATGCCCTCTAGAGGTTGATTATGGCCCTAAAGCCCCTGTAAAAAGGCCCTTTATGGATTTGATTCTGGGAATTCTCGGGCCGAGCAGGCCATCCTGGCAAAAAAAACACCACACCATGGTTTGGCCTCCAAGATGGCGGCTACTGCAATGGAGGTCGTGGTCATCACGAGACCTGACTCAAGTTAGGGTTTAGGGTTTAGGGTTTAGGGTTTAGGGTTTAGGGTTTAGGGTTTAGGGTTTAGGGTTTAGGGTTTAGGGTTTAGGGTTTAGAGCCCTAGTCATGGGGCATGCATACGGCGGGGTCACCGGCTGTCAGCTTGTTTTTGGGGCCCCCATAGCCCTAAGCCTCACAGCTTCTTCGATGGTTGCCCACAGTGTTGGAGCTTCTACCAGGAGGGGCCCCCTTACTATGCTAACTGTACTTAAGGGAACTTATACGCTAATTTAGGATCCCCATTTAGGGCTCTTATGCCTCTACTTATAACTGGGGGTGCCCCTCCTTGTATCCCGGTGCGACCGCAAGTCTCCCTCGCCTGTGAGGTCGTCCTCTTTCACCACATGAATGGAGATGCCCGACTGAGGACCTGTGCAGGTGAACTTTGTGCCGCTTCTCCTTGCCTTGTTCGGGTCGGACCCCCCCGTTGCACGGGATTCTACTTTGAAAGGTGCCTACCATGGGGACCCTGAATTGGAATAACCCTCTCAACCCAGCATTGTAGGATCTGCATGATATAATATACGAGCCTTAATCTATTCTAGTTAAGGGAGTACGATTAGTAGTTCTTCCGACCCCTATATGAATTTGCCCCGAAATTTAGGAAACCCCCCTTCCCCCAAACAAAATGATAGGTAGTCCTCATGCTAGCCACTCGTCATGAATCTTCAAGTACGGGCCTTGCGATGCAGGTTCTTCAAGGCAGGGTTTACGGCTTCAGCGTTTGTTGCCTCCCACTGAACTGAAGCCCACTTTGCAGGGCATACGGCAAGAGTTTAGGGTTGAGGGTTCAGAGTTACCTTATAAACCCTAAACTATCCATTTTTTGACCCCGGGGCTCTATCCAATCACCCTAAACCCTAAACCATCCTAAACCCTAAACCCCAAAAAACCCGGAACCCTAAACCCTAAACCCTAAACCCTAAACCCCAGGGTTGAGGAAGCTGCGGCCCGCAGCTTGCAACATCTGCAAGCCCCGCCTGCCAGACTCTCTGCCCGGAGAGAGAGGCGCCACTGCGGCTCATGGCCTCTGCCAAGGAAGAAGCCTAAACCCTAAACCCTAAACCCTAAACCCTAAACCCTAAACCCTAATACCCCATACAAGGAGGGGCCCCCTTACTGTACTAACTGTAGTTAAAGAAACTTATAACCTATAATTTAGGATCCGTAAAACCCAATTTAGGGCTCTTATAACTCTACTTCTAACTGGGGGGCCCCTCCTTGTAGTACCCCACATCGCCACACATACGCTCATTGCGACACGCGCACTTCGGAGAACGCATGCTATGCTAGCTTTCGTCATTGTACGTCATTGCATATGATTGTATGTACATACGTTGTCGCATATATATATATATATATGTATGTATGTATGTGTGTATGTGTATATATACATATATATGTGTATATATATATAGCTATATATATATATATATATATAGCTACATGTGCACTTAGTACTGTTACTATTCATTTTTGTCGTATAATGTACATATACTGTAGATCAGTGTATACATATTCTATAGTCATAGCAATACTTATTACATTACATGACCATTGTATATGGTTGTATATCTGTATATATTGCTGTATATCAAGACCAATGCCTACACATTCATGATCTTACAGAATCCATGCCAACCCTAAACCCCAAACCTGAACACTTTTTGGGGAGGGACTGCAGTTCACATTGCCCTTTTCGAACCCGAAAAATCTCCAAACCTTGACCCTGAACCTTTTTCGGACCAGCTTTCCGGAACCAAAACCCCTAACCCGATGCTCTTCTGTCTGCAAGCAGCGCAGTAGGGCGGCGAGCGTCGGCGTGAGCTGGAAGGTCCAGCGTGGTGGCCCCTGGCATATCTAGACTTGCGTTTAGCACAGGTCAACTGGTTGTGCCCAGCATTCCCTTCCCTTATGCAAACAAGGCTCAGAAAGGAATGACTGACCGCCCAGGCTGGCCTCCAGCCTGCGATCGATGGCTTTACAGGTGCCAGGGTTGAGGGAGACTTCACGGGTCTTCCAACTATCTCTTGCACAATGCAGGGTGTGCTCCACCGGACTCGGCAAAGCAAACAAAAAGTCCTGCAATCGCGGCCATCCACGTTGAGGCCATGAACTTCGGTTCCACAAACAACTTGAAGATGTGGCTGTGGTAGCCTTCAAGTGTACGGCTTGCCATCTGCTGTTCGTGCCCCATATTCTACAAAGGAGGAGATGCGAATAGGAAGGTTTCATGACAAGAAAAGGTATGTAGAAAACCTCAAGCCCCAAAGCCCTCAAACCCTCGCCAGAGTCTCTTCTTTCCCAGCTGACCCTACTAAACCCTAAACCCTGAACCCTGAATCCTAAACCCTAAACCGCAAAAAACCCGGCAAAAACATGGACATGCATGGATCAGTCGAGGCACAACTCCAGCGCTGCGAGTCCTGGCAGCGACTGGCTCATCTTCGCCCCACCTGGATGGGAATTCTAAACTAAACCTAAACCCTGAACCTAAACCCTAAGCCCTAAGCCCAAAACCCTAAAGAATGGCAATCTAAACTCACAATGGTTTGTCATAAGGGATAGACATAATATACTCTATCATAAACGTAGAATATGATCTAATGTACTCTAACCAAGCATAATAATTTCTAAATAGAGATAAATAAATACATAAATAAATATCTAAAATATATGTATGTATATATATATATGTATATATATATATGTATATGTGTGTGTACATAGCTGACATAGCTTTTCCGAAGTGTGCAAAATGGGAATCTCGACCCGACCTGGGTGATGTGACCATCCTCAGCTTCGATCAGAGGCCCGGCCCCACCCGTCGGCCCAGGCCATGGCCGCAGAAGAAAGTGCGGCGTAGTAGGGTTTAGGGTTTAGGGTTGAGGGTGTGGGGTTTAGGGTTTAGGGTTTGGGGTTTAGGGTTTAGGGTTTGGGGTTCAGGGTTTAGGGTTTGGGGTTTAGGGTTTGGGGTTTAGGTTTCAGGGTTTGGGGTTTGGGGTTTAGGACTGCACTCCCGGGCTGCGAAAGGGCGTTTAAGGTGGCATGGTCATGTGTGGACTAGATGCTATATATGACGTGTTATAATAATAACAATAATAATAATAATCAATAATAATAATACATAAATATAAATATATGTATAGTTATATTTATCTTTTTCTTTATTTGCTTATATTTGCTGTTTTTTGGAATGGCTCGTCTGCAAAATACGAGCATGAGGAGCGCGACGACCCAAAGAATCGAAGTTCAACCCAAAACCATCAGGACTTGTCCAACAAACCATTTGGAGTGAAAAGCCCAAGCTGTCCTACCCTAAACCCTAAACCCTAAACCCTAAACCCCTATACATCCCTGCACTGTCGGTCCACAGACTAAGGCAGAAAGCGCAAGATTGACCCTCCCAAGCCCCATGCTGTGGGGGAGCGAAACCCCAAAACCCTAGAAACCCTAAACCCCAGAAACCCTAAGCCCTCGAAACCCTAAACCCTAAACCCTAAACCCGAAACCCTAGAACCTAAACCCGAAACCCGAAGCGGCATCTCGGTGCTGCGCGCTTCCACCTCGAGCTGTCGAGTGGCCAGCAGCCCTGCAGGTTTGAGATCGCAGGGTTTAGGGTTTAGGGTTTAGGGTTTAGGGATTAGGGTTTAGGGTTGGGATGTTCCCCCTTATACTAACAGTCCTGGATAGGGATCATAATGGTTGGTATTGCTTAGTTGCTGAGTTTTTGGGATGTTCCCCCTTATACGAACAGTCCTTCATAGGGATTCTACTAGGAGGTACCACAATCCCTATTAAGGAGCTTTCGCATAAGGTGGAACATCCCAAGCTGAGCCCTGAACCCTAAACATGCCTAAACCCATTCGGACAGAGGGCCTAAGGCTTAGACTCCCAAAGCCAAAAGCAGCTCAAGTTCCACGGCCTCGAGTGGCATCCAACTCCTGGCTCTTTGCCTCTCCGGCTCTTTAGGGTTTAGGGTTTAGGGTTTAGGGTTTAGGGTTTAGGGTCGCGTGTACAGCAGAAGCTCCTTGGCAAAGTATGTGACTGCAAGTGTTGGTGTGAGCCAGTACAGGATGCTCAAGCTGAAACGCTATCCAGCACTTCCAAAAGTTAACCCAAGTAGCAGAATACAGCACGATGCTACAGACAGAACGGCCAGAGACATTTGTGCTTTGTCCCCTGAAAAGAATCAGCTGCTGTGACTCCAGCCATAGACTCATCCCGCTTCGGCGGGTTATGAGCCCAACGCTGCTGAAGCTGGGCTAGACTGGAAGTCAAGAATGGAGAAGAAGGAGAGTGCGCCGGCAGAAAGCAGGCCCAGCCCTTTCTGGAGTGAAGAAGCGCAGAGAAAGTTTATGGAGACCCACGGGGACCGAGATACTCAACGACCTGCAATCCTGGAAAAGTACGAGCAGACAGCGACGCGGCATGAAGAGCAACAGCTTCGAGAACCACCATATGAACAGGCACAGGCCTCGTCATCCACGAGTTTGGATGATGCAAAGAAGCCTGTTGTCGTCAATAGTTCTGCTGAGAGTGATTCAGGTGGAAGAGCAAAGGCCCCATCGGTGGAAAATCTTTCTATGATTGCCAAAGTGCAAGCTCGTGCGGACGGTTCGCCGGACCGTCTTAGCTTGGGAATGGAAAGTGCCTATAGTGGAAAGTCTGCCTCTTCACGACATGAGACCCTGGGTCAGGAAGGCGTCAAGCCAGAGCCAGAGATTATAGCTGAATCTCGGGAAACTGAACCAAGATCTCCAGGGGAACCTGGTATGACATTTCAGGAGCCCGCGATGGCTCAATTGCTACGCCAACTGAGTGGCTTAGTCACTCAGGCCCTGCAGGAGCAAGTGGCGCCAACGCTTCAGCAAGTGCTGGTGAATCAGGCGCAACTTGAATCCCGTTTGGATCAGATGGAAGTGGCTTCCAGACCAGCTTCTACAGATGGAGATGGCTTGATTGAGCGTACGCGAATGCTAGAGCTCAGTACTCCAACTGAGGACGTCAAGACAAGCCATTTTCCCGTGATGTCTAGTAGTGAAAGCGTGGATAGAGTCAATGCGCTAGGTGTACAGTCTATTCGCCCCAAAGCTGAGCAGGCGGAGGTTCCCCATGAAGTCCAGTTGGAAGGTGGCAAACCTGAAGCTGGTGATGACCAAGGACCTACCCTTCCCTCTAAAGGCACCGTATGGGTGGGAACGACGGAATATGCCTGGCGAGTATCAGCTGGCGGATTGAAATTAGTACCAGTGCAAACACAGCAGCATGAAGCAGATCAGCAACCTGTGCAAGAGTTCGGTGTACGGGCAGCAGGTAGTGGTGGAAGTGCACCTACGGACAGAATCTTCAGCAATAGGGCAGTGTCACCGTTTGAGCGTTACTCTGGCACGAGATCAGAGCCAGGACGCGATGACATAGGCCGCGTGAGCATCGAGCGACAACTCAAACCAAATATCTCTGACCCATGCCCAACTCCAAATGCCCCACCTTTGCCTCCTAAACTTGAGCAGGGAACGGAGTCCCAAGTTGGATTCGGCCCATATGAAGGAATTCCTCCAGTTCCAACGGCCAGGTGCAGTGGGGCTGCGGGTAAAGGGACCGGGAATAGGAGGGCTAGCAGGGAGGTTCAAGAGGGCGGGCGTTTAGATGTTCACAGTCGTCCGGTAACGCCAGTCAAACCCAGGATTGTGTATCCGTTCTCTCCAGGTGGCACCGAGATTCGACCTCCAAATCATAGTCCGCCACGTAGACCCACTAGGTCCCCGAACTCAAGAACGAAAGTAGCTGCAGGCACTGAGAACCCCCCTCCTGCACAGACCGACATGCAACAACTGGTGGTAGCGCTTGAAAGGGCTATTCGTGTGGGGCGAGGGGATTCTCGCACAGAGGATGTCAAGTCGATTGCTGAGCTACCCAAACTAGAGATTCGGGACAATGAGCGTGAGCTTACACCATTAATAGCCGGGGACTGGATGGCATTGCTTGGCCCGTCGCTGAGAGATCTCTCGGCAAATGCCTCAGAATGGTGGGCAGAAGTCCAAAGCGCCTATCAGGCCTTTTACACCAAATGGTTAGAAAGCAGTCCGATTGAAAGACTCCTCTTACTGCCTGAACGCCCGAATAGATTTGACGCTGGCCCGTTTGCCAGAGTGGAACAAAGAGCAGTTTCTTTGCTTTTAAAGGCGGTTCCGTCCTCCATAAAGGAGGAAGTCGTAGCTATGAGAAAGCTGAGCTCAATCGAAATCCTAGGAGCAATTATGACTACGTACCAACCCGGAGGGCTGAAGGAGCGTAGTGCCCTCTTAAAGTACCTCACTGCCCCAGAGCCAGCAAAAGGGGTCACAGAGGCTCTTCGAGCCATCAGACGATGGAGTCGCTGGAGAAAGAGGGCTACAGAACTTCAGATTTCGATACCAGACAGTACCTTGCTCATAGCTGGACTGGACGTAATGACTAGCCAGGTACTCAGCCAACACACCGATGCGTTGTTCAGGATCCAAACTTTTCGACACCAACACACAATCGACATGGTACCGACGGCAGATAAGGCCTTGTCACTTAGCCAAATGATTCAGGCCGAGCTGCAGGTCTTGGAGAACGCAGGCTCCCACAAAAGGCCAAAAATTGCCAAGGTTGCGGATGGAAATGCTGAAGGATCAGACAACGCAAACACTGCGCCTAGTAATAAAGGCAAAGGAAAAGGAAAGGGTGATGGGAAGTCCGTCGCTAAGGGGTCCGAGGCTCCAGAAGGGAGTAAAGGTGGCGGCAAGGCCTGTTACCACTGGATGTCAAAAGCGGGGTGCAAGCTAGGGAGACAATGCAGGTTTCCTCACGATAAAGCTGCGCTCAATGCTGCGTTGGATGTGGGCTCCAGGTGCTACGTTTGTAGTGGAATAGGACATAAGGCCCAGGACTGTCCATCGCAGAGCCAAGTGGAAGGCGAAGACAGGGCGACTAAAGGTAAAGCAAAGGGAAATTCCAAAGCTCAGCCCAATGTTCCGGCCGTGAAGCGCGTGGAGGAAGATACGCCTCAGGCAAAATTGATCAGTGCTGCCACTGACCTTCTCCAGCAGATGCAGACGAAAGCCGTAAGCCTGGCCTCATCGTTGAACAGGATCTCCGCGGACGGTCCTAGGACTGGACTGATCGACTCAGGAGCATCCACATGCTTGAGGACTGCCAGGGATGATGAGCCTAAAGGGTTGGTCAAGAAAACGGTGGATCTTGCCCAAGGAACCGCAGAGTTGTTCGTTACTCCTTGTGGCACTCTTGTTTCTCCCACTCCAGTCGAGACAATAGTCGCTCTTGGATTACTCATCAAAATAGGGTGCAGGCTCCAGTGGGGTGAGAAGGAGTGCACATTATGGCACCCGTCAAGGGGGCAGATTCGGCTTGAAGTGAGCTCAGGGTGCCCTCGTGTCCCGGAGGAGCTTGCGCTAGAATTGATTCAGGAGATTGAGCAATATCGTGTGAACACAGTCGGCGCGGCCATTAAGGCACTGCAGGCCAAAGACAATGGTAGCTTGCCTCAACCCAAGGAAGCAATTAGCAAACTCACAGACGAGATTCTTCGAGGGGGTGATGTTGCCGGGAGTCTAGGAGAGTTGGTGCTGTCGTTATGGCCAGAAATCCCAAATGCCATTCTGCAGGATCTGGTAGCCTGGGCCTCTCAGGACTCTACTACATTGGTCTTTAATCGCCGGAAAAGAAGAGCGGTGTCAAAGGCTAAAGGGGTCTTGATACATTTGTTTGCCGGGGAATCTCGGAAGGAAATAGAAACTCACGCGAGGGCAAAGGGCTACGAGGTAGTATCTGTGGGCCTACAAGAAGATTTCGCGTCCATCCAGACATTCGTGTATGTGCTTCACCTAGCGGCGCAGGGAGTTGTAGATATCATCTTTGCGGCACCGCCGGGTGGAACGAATTCCGTGTGTAGGTTCATACAGCCGGGGCCAAAGCTTCTTAGAACTAGAGAAGGCACGAGTCGTTGGGGTCTGGTAGGATTGAGCCCTGCAGAACAAGTCAAGGTAAAGCAGGCGGATGAGCTTTATCTTCGGACTCTTCTGCTCATGCATGTAGCTGAGGAGGGTAGACGGAGAGTCAATAAGCCCCCCACATGGAGCCTGATTGAAAACCCCCAGGATCCAGCTACGTATGTGCGGCCAGACTCAAACCTTCACCAGCAGGCCCGCCGGCATGGCGGGTTTCCGTCGTTCTTTGCCACCAGGGAGTTTCAGATTTCCTCTGAACTGCTGGGAATGAGGCAATATCATGGAGACCAAGGCCCGTATGGTCATGAGAAGCGTAGGCCAACGACATGGGCATCCACTAGAGAACTCCCAGAACTGAAGAAAGGGCCGGGTGTAGGGCCAAGTGTGGATGGTGCTGTAGAGGAAGAATGGCTTGCTGCTAAGTGCAGTAAATGGGCACCAGGGATGATTCGGCTACTACTAAACCTAGCGCCGTCGCTCTCACAGTCTGGCGTCAAAGTTGCTAAGGCAGATTCGATGGACTGGGAAGAGCATGTGCGTAATGGACATTGGCCTCCTTCTAGAAGGTGTAGAAGGTGTATAGCGGCGTGTGCCCGACATAGAGCCCACCGCCGGATCAGATGTCCGGCATCTTGGGTCTTATCGGCCGATACCATCGGACCTTTCAAGAAGGCGGAGGATGAAACGTCGCCTGACCTTCGGTACCTCTTGATAGCATGTGTTGTGGTGCCAGTAGATGGAAAGGGAAAGCCAGTGCTGGGACCAGAGCAGCAACAGGCCGAAGCAGCCGAGGACACCGCCGTAGAAGCTGATGAGGAGTTAGCTGACTACGAGCCAACCGAGATGCCTGACGATGAGAATCATATCAACATCCCATTGGAAGAGCTCTTCGGACCGGATGTCGAAGAAGCCCCTCTCGTGGGAAAGGCTCTTCAGGAGTACGAAGAGTGTCTGAAAGCCTGCCAGCAAGATGCTGATGAGCTCACTGCAGCCACAAAGGAGTGCAAAGTAGATGGGCTAGCTTGGAAGGAAGTAGTGTTTGTGGAAACGCTTAGGCGAAAGACCCCAGCTGCTACCGCCCAAGCTCTCACCCGTATCCTAACGCAGGCCCATGAACTTGGGCTACCCGTCGTGCGGCTACACACCGATAGTGGCTCAGAGTACGTAAATCCTCAGATCAGGAAGATGGCTACCAGGTTTCAACTGAAGCAAACCTGCGCAGCTCCAGAGGAACATAACAGTAATGGCCGCATCGAAAACATAGTGCAGCGTGTAAAAAACCAGATGAACATGTTGTTGGGCTTGCCTAACAGCGATCCGGTGCTCTGGCCTCTTGCGGCTAAGAGCGTTGTTGCAACATGGCGTGCGCAAACACTGAGGCAGATGGGCATGCCAGCTCCAGCAGTGGTTCCGTTTGGTACTCACGCTCAGGTACTCTGCAGGTCGTGGTTGCGCAAGAGCAAACAGTCTTGGAAAGCAAAGGCAGTGGACGCCACCGTCTTGTGTCCTGCTTCGCTAATAAAACTTGGGTATGTGGTTAGGATAGGCAAGCGGTTGTCGGTCGTTACAAAGCTGTTTCAGGGTGAGGAGCCACCGCTCACAATCACGTTGAACCCAGGCCAAGACCCTCCACCAATGTCACATTCCCTAGGCCCTGAAACTCGTGTGTCCGAAAAAGCCTCAATCCCAAGTATGTCCCACGCGCCTCCTCCTCTTGTTAGGTATCGTGACAAAGCCCCAGGCCCAGGTAGACGTCCTGTAGTAAGTGCCATTCAACCTCACCCAGGTAGGAGTGTAGAAGATCTCCAAGCTGAACAACTGGCTAAAGCGAGTCCGTTTGATGTGGATGAGGCAGTACGTTTTGTCTTGAGTAGTTCGTATGTTGTAGAACAGGGGCTTCAGGACATCAGCAGCAGCAATAAGCACTTCTCGGGACAGCACTATCTGTTTGGGGTCTACCGGTATGGAGGAGCCGTCGGGCTCACTCGGTGCTGCAAACAGCGCCCAGGAATGTCTGCCCTGTTGGCAGCTATTGCTAAGGCCAAGTGTCCTGAAGCTACTTTTTCGACGATAGGACTATGTGTAAATGGGGCAGCCTATCCACATCGTGACAGCAACAATCTCCCTACTTCGGTGTCGCATTGGATTCCTCTCAAAATGCCAAAAAAGGGCGGTAGGTTGTGGGTTGAACTTCGGGTGGGTACTCAGGTTGTTGGTCAGCCAGCAGTTGTGTCCGCCGGTAATACTCATGTTCCTGGACAGTTCCACAGCCCCAATTGCCCTGCAGCGTTCTCCCCGATGCACCTGCATGGCACTGAAGATTGGAACAGGCAGGAGTCGAGAGTAGTGCTTCTGTTGTACACGGTCAATTGCTTGCAAAACCTCGATGAGCGATCTCTTCTTGAGCTACGGCAGTATGGGTTTTCCGTTCCTTGCGTTAACGAAAAAGGGGGAGATGGTGTTCATGATGCTCGAGCTAGGGAGGGGGGAGACCCAGGATTTCAAGATGGTGTCCATGATGCTCGGGCTGGTGTTCATGATGCTCGTGCTAGGGAGGGGGGAGATCCAGGATTTCAAGATGGTGTCCATGATGCTCGGGCTAGGGAGGGGGCAGACCCAGGATTTCAAGGCAAAAATGGAGAACTAGGTGGTCCTGTGTGCCTCGGGCTAGGAAGCCATTGCGTGTGTCCCGCCACTACTCAGCAAGCTGCAGAGTCGGGGGAGATCGGGGATAGTAGGATAGAGGATGGTGGTAGCAACCACTCGGGTCCCAACTGCCTGCAATTTGTAGGCTCGGAGGAGAAAGGGAGCAGTTCAGGTTGTGCTGTGAGGGTCGCGCGTCTTCAGGGTGATTCAATGGCACTTTGCAGGATTTGTGATTCGGAGGAACTGGTTAATGATCAGGGAAGGTGTTCGGAGTGTGGTTGTAAGGTTGCAGAGAGTTCGGTAGGTAGCAGTTGTAACCCGTACAAGGCCCGAGCTGGGTTTCAGGCGCTGACTGCACCTACCCACCCCAAAGGAAAAACCTCAAAACCCAAAGAAAAAACTGAAAATTACCAAAACCCAGAAAAATCGCATAATATTTACCCTAAAAATTGTATCACTTCCGGTGATATGCCTCAGAACCGCAGCCAAGGGATGATGCGAGCGATGTGTGTGTCGGGGGATCGGTCAGTAGAGCCGGTCGCTGGCGGGCGCTGCAGTAAGCAAGTCCTTCGGGCCCTGGAGGGGCCTACTGGCAATGAGCGGGAAGGGTGGCGTCCAAGTCAGGCCTTGACATGCATTAGGTCGGAGGGGCTTGAGCGCGGTGTGTGGATGTTGGACTCTGGCTCCATAACTCGGAAGGAGGCTGAGAGGCCGAGTAACGGTCTCGAGGAAGCTGACCGAGAATTAAGCATGGAGTTGCGTGAGGAGCTTGTGTGTGAGTTTCATGGTGAAAGTGATGGGCGGAGCGATAAGCCTGAAGAGGCGGAGAGTGCCTCTGAGGAGGGCGGTGACAGTCATCGCCAGGATGCCCGCTGGGCTGCGTCGTATGAGCGTGTGCTTGATCGTGAAGAGTTGAGATGCGTTGGAGGTGAGTCGCTTGGAGAAGTCTATGCGACAAGGACCCAGCAGGAGATCATGGATTTTGAAAGTTGGCTTGATGAGCGGCAGCTGAGGCTGGCGAGCATGCATGAGGAAGAGCTGCAACAATGGATAGATGATATGCCTCCTGCTTCGGAGGCGGCTCAATTGAAGCGGCTAGAAATCAACAAGTTGTGGGAGGACGTTGAAGACTTGCGCTTGGAGTTGACGCAGTTGTGCTTGAAGCAAATAACTGAAGACTCACAAGCATTAGCTGAGGCCCAAGCCATGCCTGCTGATGTTCATGAACAGGTAGTGCTTCAGACGCGGATAGTTGCAAACATGCAGGTGATGGCAAACTGGGAGCTCTGGAAACCTGCCGTTGAGGCAGAACTTGGAAGCCTGATACAGGACAAGCAGGCGATCTATGAGACAACTCAGAAGGAGTTGGACAAGCTGCAGGCGCAGGGCTACAAGGTTTTGTTGATCCCAAGTAAAGCCATTTTTACCATAAAAGCCCCGGGGGGCAAGTATAAGTGTAGATTAGTAGCCTGCGGAAACTACCTTAGCAGTAGCGAGGGCAGCAAACTGGAACATAGGCAGACTGTCTACACCCCCAGCATAGGGATAGATGCCCTACGTACAGCGTTGGCCTTCAGCACGCGAAGGAGGCACACGTTAATCACAGTAGACATAAAGGCCGCATTCCTCAATGCGCAGCTATTGCCACGTAATCGGGGCAGCGCTGAGAAGGTTGCTGCAGAAGCCAGTAATGCAATCGATCAGGTTGAGGTGCCGTCGTCCAGTAGTCATTTCCAGCAACAGTCACAGCAACAGCATCAGCGCCAACAGCAGACTCAGAAAGAGAAGACAGAGAGTATTTTGGCTCAAGACTCGCGGCTCGACGAAGTGACCGATGAAGTGGTGGCCCTAGTACCTCCACGTGTCCTCGTTACACAGGGAGTTTTCAGCTCCCAGGCGCGGCTCATCATTAAAAAGGCTCTCTATGGGCTTGATCAGTCCCCAAGAGATTGGAGTTTTCAGCGTGATCAAGCATTGCGGAAGATCATCATCAGGCATAAAGGCACAGAGTACCGTTTGTATCAATCGTTAGCTGAAGACAGTCTTTGGCTACTCAGTAGCGAAAAACCGCTCAGAGGAATGGAAGCCACGCTGAACATCTCGCCTGAAACATCGGCAATCGCTGGATGGGTTGCTGTGTATGTAGATGACGTCCTGGTAGGAGCTGAGAACAGCTTAGCCTGGGCAGTGATTTCTGCTATCCGTGAGCGATGGGAGTGCTCGGAGCCTCAAGAAGTTGTGAATGGCTCCCAGGGAAAGGTGAGATTTTTAGGAATCGACCTCAGCTGGAATGACAATCGTGACTTGGTTTTGTCTCAGGCCTCATACATTCGAGAACTGGAGCAACGGTACAAATCGCAGCTTGATGGGTTAGGAAAACCAACGACTCCGTTGCCAAATGCCTTCGACGACGACGCCAGCGAAGAGTCAAGCGACGTTGAAGACGTTAGACGATGTCAAACCATAGTGGGAGAAATGCTTTGGGCAAGTATCCGAACGAGACCAGACATTACTTTCTCGGTTTCAAAATTAGCTGCTGCAATCACACGAGCTCCTGTAGGAACCTACAGATCTGCACTTCACACGCTGGCCTATCTAGTGGCAAGTGCAGAGTGTGTGTTGATTTATCCACGTGATGAGCGAGAAGTGTGGAAGCAGTATAAGAAGTCCACCGCTATGGAGGTGCTTCTTGAAGGATATGGGGACGCGTCATTTGCTCCAGAGGCCAAGAGATCGATGCAATGCGTCCAGGTGCACACCGAAGGGGCGCTTACCGGATGGTCGTGCGCAAGACAGGCTTTCATGGCTCAAAGTTCTTGTGAAGCGGAAATGATAGCTTTGATGGAGTTAGCTAACTACACCATCAGTAGCTCTTATGTATTTGACGAGTTGCTGCAGCGGCGCTCTCGCAAGGAGTTGCTGGGCGACAATGTAGCGGCGCTGGCCTTGTACGGTGGTACAAGTGCTAGCTGGAGAACCAGGCATCTAAAAATCAGAGCTAAGGCTTTTGCTGAGCGATACATGGAGGGTGATCTTCCGGCAAATCATATAGCCGGGGAATTCAACCTGGCTGACTCAGGCACCAAAGCCTTGGGGGCAGCACGTCACTGGAAACTGTGTGATTTGATGGGATTGCACATACCGCGTGGGCAGACTAAGCTGGCGCATGTGAGCACTGAGCACAAAGTAGAGAATGCGTCAGAGTCGAAGCGCTACTTGCAAGCGGTGATAGTGGCATGCTGTTTGTGTAGTGCAAGTGCCCAACCGACGCCGGCTGCGAACTCAGAGGGAGATGCCGCGTTGTGGGCGCTAATCTGTTTGGTGGCAGTAACCTCCATTGCCTTGTGGGAAGCAGGGAAAGCGTTTGTGCGATGCTGTCTTAGGTATGGGGCGCAGAGGCGTCCTGTCAGAGTGTCGGAAGATGAGAGCGATGAGAGACTGCCAGAAAGACAGCCCGATAGTGAAGATGAGCTTGAAGAGCAAACTCCCCTGCAACTGGCCCTGCAAGAGATTGAAAGAGAGAGGGAAGGAGTGAGGGAGAGAGAGAGGGAAGAACAGCAGCAGCAGGACTATGAAGAGGGCTTGCGTAGAAGAGGAGCCAGGATTTATGTAGCAGAGCCAGAGTTGGAGCCTCCGCTGCCTGCATCGCCGGCGATGAACCCAGGTCCTCAGAGCCATATTGCAACGCAATATCTAGATGACCTTCTTGTAGCTGCACCGGCGGAACACATAGACCGTATTGTTCAGGAGGAACTGAATCGTAGAGCCACCGGCAATCCGCCTGCCCCAACTGAAATCCCCCCAGCTCCAGTTCGGGAAGTCCGAGTTTTGGACTTCGAAAGGGCTCGTGAGGAAGTCTTGAGAGGTCAACGGGAGGAGCAGCGGATGGGTTTGCCACCAGACCCTCCTATTGTTATCCATCCTGGTTTAGGACCTCCGCGCAACCAGCCACCGCTGAGGGAGATCCAAAGGGCTTCCTCAACTTGGGGCGGCCTAGCATCTGCTTTGCATCAAGTGCTTCCCGTAGAGTACCGTAGAGATTTTTATCAAATAGACTGGAACAGAAATGTTCTCATACGGTGGCATGCAGCTACGCGTGTGCGACTATTCACACCTACGCAGACGAGGCTTCCAGATGGCCTTGACATCCGTGCAGTCACTGGTCGTAGGAGATCTTTCATCACCGAAATGGCACGCCAGTATGTACTCGACGACAGCTTTCGAGGCGAAGGAGCTCAAAGATACTTGGAAGCTGAATGGAGGGGAAGGACTGAGCTCGAAATCAGTCGAGCCATCCTTCAAATGGTGCGTCCTGCGCCATTGCCAGAAGGCATGCGATAAGGGAAGTGAACGTAGCGTAGACTGCACACAACAGGAGCTGAGATGCCGAGATGAGTTCTGCATTAGTCTGTTAAAGGCTGAGGTACTGCGAATCGCAGTAGGGGGAGCGCGTGTACAGCAGAAGCTCCTTGGCAAAGTATGTGACTGCAAGTGTTGGTGTGAGCCAGTACAGGATGCTCAAGCTGAAACGCTATCCAGCACTTCCAAAAGTTAACCCAAGTAGCAGAATACAGCACGATGCTACAGACAGAACGGCCAGAGACATTTGTGCTTTGTCCCCTGAAAAGAATCAGCTGCTGTGACTCCAGCCATAGACTCATCCCGCTTCGGCGAGGGTTTAGGGTTTAGGGTTTAGGGTTCAGGTCCCCACTACATGAACTCTTCAAACGGACTACCTGGGGGGGGAGGCTAAATCCCGAACTCCCCACAGACCCTAACAGGCCCCCAAAGTTCTCTGAGTTTTCATGGGGTTAGTCTAGCGTACGGCTTACAAAGGGTTTCAGGAGGGTTGAGGGAATCCCTAAACCCTAAAGCCCTAAGCCCGCTCATGACTTTGAGGAGCCGGGGATTGTCGCTTCCATTTTTTGTGCCCAAGAACCAATGAATCAGCCCATTACAAACTTGATCGCCACTTCCTTAATTTATGGGGATACGACTTTTAGGCGGCCCCGACTAATGTAGGGTACCCCAAAAAACATAGTTTGGAGAACTGACCATACACACTCTACCCCTAAGCCTCACTAACAAGATTTCGTGATGTTAGGAGAACCGTAACCCTAGACCCTCAAACCCTAAACCGTAAACCCTAAACCCTAATCAGTCCTGTCCCTTAGGAGAACACTATAAGCCCTTAAGTCCTGCAGTCGAGGGGATGTTGGGGGAGAACCTGATAAGGGACCTTGGGGGTTGCTTAGGTGCATGGGGACTTTTTGAGGTATTTTTAGGAGCTCTATGGGCTCTCTAGGGGAATAACACTGAGGGTCCCCTGTAAGGGCCCCTCCTTATCCCCCTAAACCCTAAACCCTAGACCCTAGAAGAGCCGAGTCTGCGACGTCCACACTCTGTCGGAGCAGATCGGACCTCGGGCTCGAAAGAGCAGGGATGGGAAAACATGGGCGGCTTAGGCTTGGGATTTGGGGTTTAGGGTATATAGGGTATATAGGGTATATAGGGTATATAGGGTATATAGGGTATATAGGGTATATAGGGTATATAGGGTATATAGGGTTGAGGGTATAGGGTTTGGGGTTCAGGGTTTTGTGATCTAATTTAGGGTTTAGGGTTTCGGATTTCGGGTTTTGTGATTCAGGGTTGGCCCTGAGACACTAAGCAAGGAAGCACCCCCCCCCCTCAGTAATAAAGCCACATAAGCCAAGCTTGCTGCATCATATGTTGTTTCTGAACTGGCCATAACGTTCGTGAATTGAACCGTTGCCCGAATGAGAGCCACGAACCTGCAACTCATAAGCTTGAATCCCTAAACCTTGTAGCCAATAAGCATTACTAACCCTAGTATCTCTTACATACCTTCCTTAACTAAACCCACTCACTAAGCCTAAGCAGGCCCCAATCTCAACTACAAAATGCTCTCGCAGTCGCCCCTAAGGAGAGTTAGGGTTTTTTTGGGGCTCAGAGGGCTCAATGAACTTAACCGAAACAGATGCGGGCACAAGGCCAATGAGCAGCAGAACCAAGCCATAGGCAACCAAATCCTAAGGCCCTCAAGCCCATTAAGCCCTAGCACCCTCCACCGCCAACCATCTCGTTGACCACCACCTCCTCTTGGGTCGTTGGGCTGTGGGGGGTTCCTTTGAGGCTTTACCGTAGCCGAGTGGTCTGAAACGAATCATGAGCACACATCTGACACATCCTGAGTAGTTTCTTGTCCGGGGTTGTCGGGCTAGGTTTAGCAGCACCGATGCTTGGGATCTGGCTTCGACTTGTCATCATTGCTGGATTGGAGCAGGTTGTTCACTTGCTCCGTCAGGGCCTCCACCTGCTCCAGGAGAAAAATAGCTCAGGGCCCAGCCTAAAGCTGGTAAGATAGCGCAGCGTCATCAGAACCGTGCGCGGCCCCGCACGCGCCGCGCGCCCAAAAGGGGTGTTCGACAACCCTCGCATAAACTCACAGGTACCGTCCCCCTTTTCAACGCGCCCCTGAAATCGCAGGACGTGAAGGTTGTGGCAGATGCACAGGGGTTTTCAAACAACTCCGGGGAGTCCACTGCAGGAGATCCACTATGTCCAGAGGGAACTTGCTACTCGCGGTTGCAATCGATCTTAGGAAGAAGAGGGCGCCATGGTTTCGCAAGTAAGTGGCTTGCGAGGCATCCTGGCCTAAGATTGGGAAGAAGGTAAGCCTTAAGGGACGAAGGCTACGCCCAAACCCCGAATTTTTGAACAGTGCTCAAACCCTATACCCCCGCCCCCAAGCGGGCATGTTTGCAGCGAGCCTTACTGTTGTCTTACTTCTTTTACTATCAAATCTTAAATCTCGGATGCAGGCAAAGCAGGTGCAGGTGGAGTTGCAGGTGTCTTGCTCGACCCCCCAGAAGATTACGCTATCTGCAAGCCTTTTTGCAACATATGAAGCAGAAGCAGTGCTTCACCCAAACTAAACTGTAGGGTTTCCTGGGCTGCATTTTTTGGAGTCTGATTCCTAAATCCTCTTCGCTTACTGGTCCTTAGTCGAGAATTGGGGAAGTTCTCTAAGTACTGCACCCTAATTTCGTCGATGATGAAGGGCTTGATTTCTTGAACCATCCCTTTTCCTTTTTTCGCAACCTAAACCCTACACCCTAAACCCCAAACACACTAAACCCCAAACCCTTTGACTAAACCCGTACCCCTAAACCCTCAACCCTTTGACTAAACCCCACTAAGTTCAAGCATTTGGACTTGGGACATTTACCTTTATACTAACAGTCCTGAGTAGGGATCATAATAGTGGGTGTACTAGATTTCCTATTAAGGACTGATGCTTCTAGTATAAGGGGAAACGTCCCCAATCGGGACCGGGACCCTTAGATCCAGCAACCACAGCCTCCGACTGGGCTTTCTGGTGTTCGATGGCGAGGGAGGCAGCTTCGCCCTGTCTGCGGCTTAGGGTTTGGGGCTTCTAGGGTTTCGCAGGGATACGAACAAACCGTTGTGTGTACATACTTCTGTGTAGAGAGAGAGAGGGAGAGTGAGAGAGAGACAGCGAGAGAAAGAAAGAAAAAAAACATAAAGAAGCCATATAGATAGATAAATAGATGGACAGCAACAGGCATGTGTGTGTGATGTGCGAAATCTTCCTCGTATTGGAGTGTCTGGATAGTGTTTGATGAGATGCACTCGGGCGCGAGCTTGCAACCAGGCTGAAACTTCAAGGTGCAAGCGCTGGATGACTTGCCAGCGCTTCCTTCTGCAGCTTCTCCAGGGTTTAGGGTTTAGGAGCAGCTTGTTCCAGACTGACAAGGCGATCCATCACCGGCGAACCCTGTGGTGGCCAAGTCTCTTCTGTGCAGCCTGCGCCACGGATGCCAAGAGGCAACGGGAAGGGCTGCCAAAGCTCCAAAGGGCGCACTCGCAGCAGATGGGGGCCTCGATCGAAGCTCAAAGTTCACGACCTTGCGGACCCTGCGCCGGGTTCGACTCGACGGGCCATATGCGTCAAACTGCCTTAAAGCGCGCGTCACAATTCTTCCCTGGCTTCAGGCTCTTGTGCATCATGGAGCAAAGTCTCCAAGACCGCCAGCTTTTTCATTGCCTTGATGTCGCTAGCAGGTGAGTTGCCCATGCTACTTGTAAGCCGGCGGATTTCAGCTGAAAGCTCCCCACGAGAAGTGGACTGCCACCTGGACATGAACTTGGCCTCTTTCCGGGTGCACCCTTGTAGCGTCTTCGGCTTGCAACTGAACTCCTGTGGCCTGCCGGTATGGATCCCAAGCAGCTTGAGATGTGTGTTGAACAAGGCGGTCGCATTCTGATACAGCCAAAGTTCGTAACCCATGGCTTTGTCGACCACTCGGCGGACAGTAGAAGTTACGAGCGGGCCAGCTTGGTTGGCACCAGATCCCTTCCCACCTCGCGGGTTGTCCTGGCACTCTTCCAGCATCCCATGGCGTCGCCCCAAGCGCCAGCGTTCGTAGCTCCCACAACGAATGGGAAGCCCATGACGCACAAGCTGCAGCATGGATGGCGGCGTTTGCAGTCCCAGGAATACATCCAGAAGGGCTGCCGACTCCTCCAAGCGCTCTGTGATCAACGGTAAGATGTACTGGCGCAACCTTAGTCGCTGAGTTCATAAGCTGAGTTCATAAGCACCCTTAAAAAGTGTACACTTTCAGTTCCATAAGGGATTATAGTATTCAACAAAACGGTAAAGTGTACTCATTCGCTGGCAAGCAACAGGTCGCTCATGGCCGCCAGCTTTGAGGGGTCCAGGTCCCCTTCGGCACAGGGTGCTGCAAAGCGAGGCCCGAACACCTGGTTTGGAACAACCCTGCACTGGGCCACCCCCTGCTGCTTCATGAACTCGGCGAACATGGCCTCCATGTTACCTTCTGGGTAGCCCAGTAACCAGCACACTATAGAAAGGTTACCCTTTTTGGGCTTGGCTTCTTTAGAAGGGAACCCTGAACAACCCTAAACCCTAAACCCTAAAGCCTAAACCCTAAACCCTAAACCCTAAACCCTAAACCCTAAAGGGGGTACCGCTGGGCTACCAGGCCTTTGTCCATGACCCCTCCCTGAAGCGACTGTGGGTCCATGGACAGCGATGCGCCCGGCTTATGCTCCAGCCCCGCTGTCAGCTGCCTTTGAAAGGGGGGCCTACCGCAGAAGGGTTTAGGGTTTAGGGTTTAGGGTTTAGGTAGGGTTTAGGGTTTAGGGTTTAGGGTTTAGGGTTTAGGGTTTAGGGTTTAGGGTTTAGGGTTTAGGGGTTTAGGGGTTTAGGGGTTTAGGGGTTTAGGGTTTAGGGTTTAGGGTTTAGGATTGAGGGTCAAGCAGCAGTGTCTCCACCGACTGTCTCCAGGGTTATCTTTGCTCCAGAAACGCCTCCAAACTCCAAACAAACGCCCAAGGCACATGAAGGCTGACATCAGGCGCGCTGCCGGTTCCCTCAGCGCCACGGCCAGCAGTGGCGCACTGGCCCTCCCCGCTGCCGGGAAAAACTGGTTGAAGGAGCCACTGTGGTGATGGTTCAACTTCCTCAGCTGGGAAGTAGATCCACAAGGGCCCTGTATGGGTCTCGATCAGAGTGCAATCCTCATGGCTGAGGGTCGCCCAAACAACGGCCCAGAAGGTAGGCTCAACACAGTAAGGTTTCGCGTGACGGCGGCCACCCCTACAGACAACAGTCTGGCTCATGAAGGCTTGAACGAGGGTTTAGCGTTTACTCAATAAATGGTCACTTTTTCAGCGGGTCGCCACGTTCTCAACACTTCGTGGTGAAGGGCATCCGATATCAAACCCATACCCTTCGTAATCATCCTGTCAGCCTCGTTCGTGTTTGATTAAAATGAAATTTGGGACAACAAAGCGACTTTCAGATATGTCTGCTTTCTATGCCTCATTCGACGTAGGAATGCATACAACTCGGAGAACTCCGCCTCCAAGCAGCGTTCGAAACTGACACGAAATTAACACAATAAGGATTATATGTATATATATATATATATATTCTTGCTAAGGCTTTTCCCTAACCCTAAACCCTAAACCCTAGACCCTAAACCTCTGAAATATGGATCCCAGGGCTCCCAAATCCCATGTCGACGAGATGGCCGTGGAAGATGCTGAAGTTGGACTGCGGGGGCGGTGCATCCACCTAGGTGCTCCAAGGATTAGGGTTTAGGGCGTGCCAGACGGAAGCGCGCTTTGGGAGCGCGCAGTAGTCTGCAGACCGACCCACCCCAAGACCGCCCACTTACAACTCTCAAGGAATTAGGGTTTTCTTTTATTTTTTACAAAACCTCACATCGGTCAGCACTCGCCCTTTTGGGGACCTCCACAAGTGCATGGACAGCTGGGGGGGAAACGCACAATCACAAAGGCAGTGCGCGGACATCTTGGCTTGTTGTGAAGGGGCTAACGTCAAGGAGGCGCACAGCTACAGGGCCAGGGGGCCAGACCCAGGGCCAGGGCTAGCCAGGGCCCGGCAAGGGCCATAGGCAGCCAGCGGAGGGCTCAAGGGCTTTTTTTGGGTCAAAACCCTGCCTGCCCCATCAAAACGGCCCCTGGTCCTCACTGCCCAGCGGGCAGGAGCCAGACCCACAGGGAACAATGTGCGCGGACAGCTTTGGGGTTTAGGGTTATATTACATAATACAGTGACAACTGCTGACTCGGCCTCGGTTGCCTGCCTGGGGGTCCCTCGCAGGGTCTCACTGAGCGCTCGACCAGCGCCCGCCTACCCCAAAAGACAAGAGGGTGGGGTGGCGGGCGGGTTTAGGGTTTAGGGTGTAGAGTAGAGTTCTGTCGGGGGTGTTCACTGGTTTTCTTGTTTTTTTTTTGTATGCTTTTCGACGTTTCGGTCTGTGTTTTGGGGGGCCGTGGCGACTCAGGGGGCTCCTTTGTTTTGGGGTGTGTTCGGGTATTATCGGCTACTAGCGTTTCGGGCTCGCGACTTTCAGGGTGCTTGAGGGTCGGCAAAACGGAACAAGAACAACTGGCGCCCAATGTCTAGGGTGGCCGATGGCACGCGCAACCCATCCACAGCATTGATGCTTTAATGGTTTGTGAAATTCATACTGCACTTACTAGAATACTATTGTCGCCTTTGCGATTCTTGCTGCCACTAGTCTCCCTAGGCCCTTGTGGCATCTCTAGAAGTGTGGGTCTGTGTGGGATGGGTGAATGACACACGAACGCGAACAGCAGCTTGCACTTGTGCAAACGCAGGTCCTATACTCCCCTTAGAACCAGTAATTGTTTTTTCATTTTTAATATCCTCTTGGGTTTTATATAAACAAAATGGGGGATATAGGGTTAGGGCAAACAAGTGCCTTGCCAAACTGCCTCTTTCTCTCATTTTATGTCGCTCTCTTTCTTCCGTCACGGCTACGGTACGACGGACTGCCAGCACTGATAGGAAAGCCTCAACGCGCAACGGCCCTCCAAACCCTACTCTGCGAACACGTCACCAACCGCTGAACCCTAAACCCTAAACCCTAAACCCTAAACCCTAAACCCTAAACCCTAAACCCTGAAGCCCAAGCTGCGAAGAACTGGACTGCCCAGAACTGCCAGGAAAGGATACCACCCCCACTCAGCCTCGGCTAAGACCCTGTACGTAAACCCAAAACCCTAAACCCCAAACTACACCTCTCCTCGCTTGCGGGCGCTGGGCTGCTAGGTGCTTGGTGCGCGGGTTCAAGGCCCTCAGGTAGGCCGGGATCTCTGAAGGGCCACCCTCTCCTTGAAAAGGGCAGGTTTAGGGTTTCTGCAAGCACTCTCTGCGGGTTTAAGGTTGAGGGTTTAGGGTATGAGTTAGGGATTAGGGTGGTGAACTTGAAGGGTAGATGTTTCAAGGCAACTACACACGCTACCGGCCCATTTGGCTGTTTGGGGCTAGGATTCCTAGACCCTAAACCCTAAACCCCGAACCCCAAAACCCAAAACCTAAACCCTAAACCCTAAACCCTAGACCCTAGACCCTAAACCCAGACGGGGGAGTGCATGGATGCCATGCGACAGACTGGTGAGTGGTGTGGGTTCCGAGGCTCTTGGGAACATCTCGGAACATGTGTTGACCTATCTTATGGGCCCTTTGCTAGGCAGGCTAACACACCCCAGGAGTATACGATCTATTTGCTAAAGACTCTGTGCACCAGTGCTTGGATGCACTTGGCTTGTACAGGTCTGCGGCCATCTGTAGCCATTTTTGTGGGATTTAAGCTCTACTTAAGTGGCAAGCTTGGAGTGTTGGGACCCTATAAACCCTTATCCTTAACCCTAGAAACCCTAAACCCTATGAACTTAGAACCCTAAACTGGTGCTCCAGAGGATGTGAGGCAGCTGCCAAGCGTCTCATATCCGTGAAGAACGGCATGTGGTGGGCCCTTGCATACTTTGCCAGAGCGGCGCCGTAGGTGGAGCCGCCGGCTTTGAAAACATGCATGAACCCAAAGGCGGAAAACCTGGGTTTAGGGTTTAGGGTTTAGGGTTTAGGGTGATGGCCTCAGGGGGTTTAGGGCAGCTTCATGCCAAGAGTCCCGTGGGTCAACGGCAAGACCTACTGGAATGGGGCTCGTGGACTCGTGTGCAGCTTATGGTAAACGACAGGGTCTGCCGATTGTCTTGGTCTGCAGAGAAACTCGCCTGTGCTTCTTTACGAGTCCGAACAGTAATGGCTGCAACAATCTCTCTCTGTTGTTAAGGCTTCTACATTTGGAACTAGGAGACGAAAGCGCGGGTCCTGTGCTAATCTCTTGGTGTCGAACTACCAGGCAAGCGTACTCCGAACACCGCTCCGAATCGTGAGCTCCCCCCCCCCCCCGTTTTGAAGCCGGATCTTCCTACACCCGAAACCTTAGACATCCCCCAACCCTCCATCCTCAACCAAGAACCCAAACCCCCTAAACCCTAAGCCCTTAACCCTAAACCCGAAATCTTAGGCAAGGAACTGACTCGGCTGCAGGATCTCCGCGCCGTTGGCCGTGCCAAGTATGAAAAGGAATCGAAGAGCAAGCCGCATGGCTTCAGGGCGCTTGTTGCGTACATAACAATCTATGCAGAAAAAGACATCACATACATATATATATATATATTTTTTTTTACCCACATACATACATATATTGATATGTTTCACCTTCTTTTCTGTTTATCTATATACGTGTGTGTACTGACTCATGTTGCTTGTACTCGCATTGGTATTGGTGCTCCTGATACTTATATGGGGTTTACGAAAATAAGGGACCCCTAGTATACTCCCGAAGTAGTAGGATTCCCGTATCCTAAGGACCCCGAGAAGGTACCCCGTTTATCGTAAACCCCTCATATTAATGTGCTGCGTTTGTGCGGGCAGAAGGCTTGGGCCCTTTAAATGAATAAACTAAGTGAAGTAGAATACGGACCAAAGAACCTAACAAAAGAGCCGCCATTATATTTGCATTCTGCTCCGAACTGCCTCGCGAGCCAACTGTATATCGTTTTGACTGGCGCGCGGATATGTTCATATAATTCAAGGGGGTAGTGTAACAGATGTTAGCCACTTCGCTGCTCGACATCTCGATTTGCTTGGCTTTCACCTTTTGCTCGGGAAACTTCCACGCATTCCTACCAAGAAAACATCCTGAACTCCGGCTCCTGGCCCCACCCCTTGCACCCATGGCCTAAACCCTAAACCCTAAACCCTAAACCATAAACCCTAAACCGTAAACCCTAAACCCTAAACCCTTTTTTTGCATCCGGGCTTGGGACCCTAAACCCCAAACCCTAAACCCTAAACTAAACCCTAAACCCGAAACCCGAAGCCCTAAACCTCTGTTTCAGAATGAGGGGGGTTTCCGGTTGAGGGCGTCGGGTTGTAGCCTTGCCAACCCGATTCCGGGATGGGGGGGCCCTTGTAATACTTGGTGCTTTCCGAGAAGAGGGGTACCCTTAAGAGGGGTACCCTTTTGAGGGGCTCCCAGAGTAAGGACTAGAGCATTCCCTCTATTTTGGGGACTATCCATCGGAGGGAACGGATGAAGGGTCCCTAAACCCTAAACCCTAAACCCTAAACCAAGGTACCTTTGTGGAGTCACAGACATGCTGGCCACGCCCCCGTGGCCTCTGCCGCCTTGAGCAGAGACTCGCTCTCTCGGAGTTCCTGAGCAGTTTAGGGTTTAGGGTTTAGGGTTTAGGGTTTCGGCTCTCACACTGACTAGGGTCTATAGGGTCTATAGGGTTTAGGGTTTTTAGCTAGGGTGCGGAACCGAAGTCCACTTTGCAGGGTCTTCTGGCAGACTCAGTTGAGGGTTTCGGGAGCGCTGCTTTGCCCATCTCGCTTGCAGACTCCACTCGAAGGCTCCTAAACCCCTAACCCCTAACCCCTAACCCCTAAACCCTAAACCCTAAACCCTAAACCCTGACCCTAAAGTGTTGAGCCCCTTGGCCTGAGTTCCCTGCAGACTTCAGGGCTTCCTGCCGTTCTTTGGCCACCGCCCGCCTCAGAAAAAACAGCAGCAAAAGGGGAGTTTTTGAAAAAAGCGTTTAGGGTTTAGGGTTTAGGGTTTAGGGTTTAGGGGCTAGGGTTTAGGGTTTAGGGTTCCCCCCAATATGGATCCCTAAGTAGCAGGATCCCCCAACAAAATAAGGACTCCCAATAAGGTACCCAGAACTTCGGGAATCCCCATCGAGCCAACACACAGTCAAGGAGGCGGTTCATGATCCATGCCCCAATGCTCCGCGGGCGGGGCAGCTGCTGTTCTCTGTGTCGGTGCTTCCCCAGAAGGGTTTAGGGTTTAGGGTAACCCTATGCTGCGGAGACCCCGAAAATCACTCCAGTCTCCAATCTGAAGCCCTCGAGCGCCCGGCTCTTGCGCAGCCTTTTGGAGGCCTTCGGCTAGGACCCGGGAGGTCGCCTCAAGGAATCTGGAAAGATGAAGCCTCCACTGGCCTGAATCTACTGTAGACCGCAGACCAGACCTACCACCACTTGAGCCTGTTTCAGAGCCCAAAAAAAAGAAGGGATCTTTTTCCTCGCATGTGGTGTCCCATGCACACCTAACCCCTGAACCCTGAACACTGAACCCGATGGCTTGGAGCAGAAGCTGCTAAGGCGTTGACTTCCAGATCATCCACCCTGAGGGCAACACACCGATGGCTCCAACAAGACGAAGAGCACGGGCTTTCTAGCTGCGTGTGTCCTGTAGTGTATACACCTCTCCTCCAAGTATGGGTGGCTGTCAAAATTCTGATCCCTTCTGGGGTATCCTAAAGTCCTTAATTTTAGGTGCCGTATTATAATACGGATCCAAAAAGGGACCACAAGTTTGACAACCACCCATATGAAGCTAACAGGTTGCCACTTAATTTTACCTTCGCAGGGGTAAGTGGCCGAAAGGCGCAGATGGTCACACATCTGTGGTCGCTGTTCTCTGGGCAAGCTCTAGCCACTCTAGCCACATCAACACAAGGATCACCCAAAACACCGTGGCACCGGTCAAATGTGCCTGTGTGACATGCTGGATGTAAACATGTGTAAAGTGACCACCATATCGCCGAATCTTGCCCAAAGAACTGGTAACCCAAGCTGCAAGTGCCGGCATTGCCGGCATGAGGATTAGGCGGCGTACGTCGCAAACGGAGCTGTCAGGCAAGCGCTTTACCATAACACATGGGGCTGCCAGGAAC